CTCACACCACACACAAAAATAAACTCAAAATGGATTAAAAGACCTAAGTGCAAGATCTGAAACCATAAAAATCCTAGAAGAGAGCATAGGCAGTAATGTCTCTAACATCGGCCATAACAATGTTTTTCTAGACATGTCTCATGAGGCAAGGGAAATAAAAGCAAAAATAAACTATTGGGACTACATCAAAATAAGAACCTTCTGCACAGCAAAGGAGACAGTCAACAGAAGTAAAAGGCAGCCTACGGAATGGGAGAAGATACTTGCAAATGACCTATCTGTTAAAGGGTTAGTATCCAAAATATACAAGGAACATATACAACTCAATATGAAGAAAACCAAATAATCCAATTAAAAAATGGGCAGAAGACATGAACAGACATTTCCCCAAAGAACACACGTGCGTAGCCAACAGACACATGAAAAGATTCTCAGCATCACTTAGCATCAGGGAAATGCAAATCAAAACCACAACGAGATATCACCTCACACCTGTCAGAATGGCTAAAATCAATAAGACAAGAAACAGCAAGTGTTAGCGAGTGTGTGGAGAAAAAAATAACCCTCTTGTGCTGTTGGTGGGAATGCATATTGGTGAAGCCATTGTGGAAACTGATACAGAGATTCCTCAAAGCGTTAAGGAACCTACCCTATGATCTGGTAATTGCACTACTGTGTATTTACCCCCAAAATACAAAAATACTAGTTCAAAGGGATACATGAGCCCCTTTGTTTATTGCAGCATTATTTGCGGTAACCAAATTATGGAAGCAGTCTAAGTGTCCATCACTAGATGAATGGATAAAGAAGTGGTATGTGTATACAATGGAATGTTATTCAGTGTAAAAATGAATGAAATCTTGCCATTTGCAGCGACATGGATGGAGCTAGAGAGTATAATGCTGAGTGAAATTAGTCAGAGAACGACAAATAGCGTATGATTTCACTCATGTGGAATTTAAGAAACAAAGGAGAAAGAGAGAGAGGGAGAGAAACCAAGAAACAGACTCTTAACTCTAAAGAACAAACCAGTGGTTGCCAGAGGAGATGTGGGTGGGGGTGGGGGAAACAGGTGATGGGATTTGGGGTACACTTGTTGTGATGAGCAGAAGATAATGTATGGAATTATTGAATCACTGTATTGTACACTGGAAACTAATATTGCACTGTTGTGTTAACTGTGTTAAAATAAAAAATTAGAACAAAACATAGTATAAGTGGGGGCAATTGGGTGGCTCAGTGGGTTAAGGCCTCTGCCTTTGGCTCAGGTCGTGATCCCAGGGTTCTGGGATCGAGCCCCATGTCGGGCTCTCTGCTCAACCGGGAGCCTGCTTCTCCCTCTCTCTCTCTCTCTGCCTGCCTCTCTGCCTGCTTGTGATCTCTGCCTGTCAAAATAAATAAATAAAAATCTTTAAAAAATAAAAAAAAATAGTATAAGTGAATCAGGGCTGTTCTAGGGCTTTCTAGAAGTTTAAAAAATATCACACAAATAACTAAATACAGCTTTTTATCCCAACAATAGCGGATGGATAATCAACACTAAAATTAAAGGACATATATTGAATAAGGCACTACAAGGTAACAAAGAGGGGAGGAAGATATGGCTCCTGTCTGCAAGGAATGTGAATTGTTACAAGGTAACAAAAAGGGGAGGAAGATATGGCTCCTGTCTGCAAGGAATCTGAATTGTAACCTGACTGTGACTGTATTGTACCCATTCATATGGATTTTTCACTCAGGATTTATGAAACGGAAAGTTGTCGTTCTTCTCTATAGCAAGTTCTTAATCTTCACCAGTTCTTTTACACTAAGGGAAAATACCAAAAACATCGGGTTCAGACCTCTCTAGAGATGGGAGTCGTGCATTATATGAGAGAAGAAAAAGAGAATACTCTTTTGTGTTTGCCTATAGCTTTTAATTCTAGACCAAGATTTCTCAAGTTTGGTATTATTGGTGTTTGCGGTCAAACAGTTCTTTCTTGTTGTAAAGTTTTTCCGGCGAGATAAACACGACACCAGGCGAGGTGGGTGCAAGGCAAGATTTATTAAAGGCACTCTCCGGCGAAGTTTCAGGGCTCAGGAGAAGGGGAGCCAGGAAAGTTGCACCGGGAGGAGGAGGGCGAGGTTCTGCGACTCCGGAAAGCAGAGTGGGGGAAGTCGCGCCCAAGGCAGGGAGAAGGGGGCTTTTAAGGGGTCTCCAGGGGAGTTCAGGGGTCTTTTGGCAAGTTTCCCTTATTTGGATATTTCGCCTGCTCGTCGGGGTCCCATTGGTCCACTGGAGCCCGGGGCGGGGGGTCTCAGATTCCCGCTTGTCAGGGTCCCATTGGTCCACGGGAGCCCGGGGCGAGGCGGGGAAGTGGGGGGGAGGTGGTTCAGATTCTTGCTTGGGTCTTTGTTCTCCTGTCCGAGCTCAGGTGTTGTGGCGGGAACTTTCGCCATCTTAAGTAGCCCTTTCTTTCTGCCAGCCCAACACTTGTGGGTGCCTGTCCTGTAAATTGTGGGATGTTTAGCTGCATCCCTGGCTTCTACCCTCTAGGTGTCAGTAGCACCCAATTCCAGTTGTGACAACCAAAATAAATAAAAAATAAAAAAAAATAAATGTCTCCGGATGTTCCTAAAGGTCCCCTGGGAGCAGAATTGTTCCCTCCATTGAGAATCACAATTGTGGCAACTTTCTGAAGAGCTTTGTCTATTCTGTCTGGGCACTATTTCCAGAAATGACAAGGCTAAGATCTTGAATTTCCAGTTTCTTGGATTTGGGGTAGCTACCTCAAGGAGATGCCTTCTCTGTAGGTGTAAACCACTGGTAAGTTTCTGTTTTTTAATTTTTTTTTTATGAAAAGTGGAGGCTCAGGTCTCCTCAGTGGCTCAGTCAGTTAAGCATCTACCTTTGGCCCAGGTGATGATCTCGGGGTCCTGGGATCAAGTCCCACATCCATCGGGCTCCCTGCTCTGCCAGGAGCCTGCTTGTCCCTTTCCCTCTGCCCCTCACACCCACTTGTGTTCTCTCTCTCTCAATTAAATAAATACCAACTTTAAAAAAAAGAAGAAGGACAGTGGAGTGTCAGGGACCCCACCAGACACATGGGAGATCGACTGAGTCACAGCTGCCTCATCACTTACAAATCCTTAGACTCTTCGTGGTGGGGTGAGGCCCAGAGGGTCATTGGTAACGATTTATCTCAATTCATAAATCTTTCACTTTCCCAGTTGCTCTGGTTCTACCCATCTGGGGTACTTCTAAGGGGCAGAGGATGGAGCACCCCGAGTTATGCATGTCGTTCCGTCCATCTTGCATGATGTCTCAGCAGCTGTCAGCGTTACAGGAAGTCCACCGAGATTTCTCAGAGACTTACGAGGAACACCCGGTGCTTGATTCTTCGTGGGAAATCAGTGTCAGTGGTGGGTGGCGTCTGTGTGGGACAGATTGTGCACGCACACCTAAATCTGTAATGGAGTGGGAGCGCTCCTTGTCAGTTGCAAACTCAACAGGAAAAAATCGATTTTGCACGTGGATGCTCCTTCTGCTGCACCTTTACTATTTCAGCACGAGGAGGGAGCACTTCCCTTCTGCCCCAGCCAGAGCCCGGCCAGTGAGACACAGTTACAACCTGGGCAGTGAGAAGCCACTACAGTTCCAGCTCCCAGGTTACTCTGTGGACTTTGTGTTTCTAAAAGCCTTCTCAGCTTCCTCCTTTCCTCTGTAAAAGAGCATTCCTCTCCTTCGTTCTCTGCACTTGTCTATGGGTTTGCTATAGCTTGCTTGTCCCAGATTGTAATTCTCTGCTTTTCCCCTTCCCCGCCAAAGCCCCATTTTTTTTTAACTGGTGAAATGACTGGGAGTGTTATTCGTAAGGTTAGCCTATCTCCAACTAAGAAGTAGTGACTCCTTTTCCTCCCCAAATTCATCGGTACCTTCCTTCCATTTTTCCAAAACCCTAGAGTGTTCCCCTCACCTCAGTTGGAAGCCTGTAATATTGCATTGTATAAATAATCCAGAAATCTTCAAAACTGTGAGCTAAATTACAGACTTTATTTCTACTAGACAAGCAATTAAAAACTTATGTTTTTATAAAAACTTTTATGAAAAGCTTTTTCATAAAAGGTTAGGTCTGGAGCCGACAACCAAGAAAGAGTTCTTGAACGTCTTTGGTGCAAAAGGGTGGTTTTATTAAAAGTACTGGGACAGGACCCGTGGACAGGAAGAGCTGCTGCCCCAGGGTTGCGAGGGGTGGCTGGTCATATACTTGGGAGTTGAGGGAGGTAAGGGAAAGGGAGGTTTTCAAAAGAACTTTCTTATGCTAAAGGCTCACAGGATACTGGAGGCCTTGCCATTGTCAAGTTCAGGTTGTTTTTCCCTGTAGCAAGGCATTAACATCAAGACAGTTGGGAGCTTCCTGGAAGAATGGCCCACATGTCCCACCCAGGAGTGGGGGGTGGGGGTTGCAGGGTGTCCCCTGTGCTTTGTCCTTAGCTAGCCTTCTGTTCCCTCATCACTCTGGTGAACACTTGCTTTCCAAAACTTCTCCCTCCTCTCTCCCTCTGGCCTTTGTTGGAAAGAAAGTTTCATTGGAAAGTTTCAGTTGAAAGTTTCATTAATTCGTATTTGTATGTGAACCTGGTCTGGTGGTTGGGGCTCAGAAAATGGTCAATAAGGAAAAGAAACGCATTGGGTAACAGCCTCCTTCCTCATGGTGCTGGTCTGCCCGCGTCTTCCTGTCCTCAGGAGAATGGGCAGCGCTTGGTTTAGGTGAGAGGAGAGGATGGACTGAGCGCTCCTGGCTGGCAGAGCAGCAGGCCGGTGGCTCCCGTGCCAGGCGCTCTCTGAGCGGCCTCTGTCCCGCTTCAGTCTGGCCCCTGAGCCCCTGAGTGGCTCGTCCCGGGTGGCTCGTCCCTGAGACTTGGATTCCATCCCCTCGGCACACCGCAGCCCTGAACTAGCCTGGTGTGTGATCCCACAGAGCGCACGTCCTGACGATGGCCCCTGTGCTTTCTCCTAGTGCACCCGCTGTGGGAGACCGTGGACCTGGTCCCGGGGGGCGAGCGCCAGTCGCCCATCAACATCCGCTGGAGGGACAGCGTCTATGATCCCGGCTTAAAACCGCTCACCATCTCTTACGACCCGACCACCTGCCTCCATGTCTGGAATAACGGGTACTCTTTCCTGGTGGAATTTGAAGATTCTACAGATAAGTCAGGTGAGAGCCCGACCTTTGGTCTTGTCTGGAGTTAAAGGGACAGCCTGGTGTTGGCACAGGCCACACCACGCTGCTTCCTCTTTGAGCAGTGGCGTGGGACTCACTGCACTGAGCTTTTTGAACATATGAAAAAAAATCCCGTCTAGTTTTTCTGAACATTTTCTTCTGTAGTATAGATAATATTTATTAATAAGTGTGTATATCTCTCTGTATAGAAAGGAGATAGGTTTTGAAATAAAAGCTTTGCCTGAAGTTTATTTTGTGTGCTTTGAACATGTACTAATTTTCTCTGCTTGGTGACTTCACAAGACTCTTTTACATTAAGTAGTATTACAATTTAGATTTAACTGAGCAGACTGCAATACCTTTGAAATGGGACAAAAAGAATATTCATGTGTGTATGAGGCTATAGTCTTAGCAACCAGTTCTACATAGAAAAATGGAAAGTCATGTTAATTTTGTTGATTAAACAATGTTACCTAGTTTAACAGAAACACAATTTAAAAGAGATTTTCAGATCCAAATGTTATATTGCTTTTGAATCTTCTCTGGTTTTCAGTCTACCCAGATATAAACTAATCTGAATGATTTCAAAGTTGACCTGAAACCTTTAGTGTCTGTTGAACACAGAATGTGATTAATTCTATGTAGGTTTCTTTTCTCCATTTTTCCTTTTTCCAACCAAATTTGATGGTATCAAGTAATCTTAGTCTGAAATAATTAATAGTTGAAATTGTGTATCTTTAAAGAGTGGCTATCAGCCAGGGGCAGTTTTGCCCCCTCTCACTACCCCGGGGCTTGGGACACTTGGCAACAAGTGTAGGCATTTTCAGTTGTCACACTTGCGGAGTGGGGGAAGGGCGGTGTGACTGACATCTTGTGGGTCAAGAGGAGAAAAACTGGTGAGGAAGAACTACAGTACATGGGACAGCAATCGGAAAGACTTATCCAGCCTCAAATATGAATAGAGCCAAGACTGAGAAACCCTTTAGGCGATTAGTTTTCTCCGATGAATATGAGGAGATGGGCCCGTGAAAGTGTGAATGAATGAAGTAAAAAGTGTGACCTAAAGCATAAATAGAAGTGTTCCCTTCTGTATCTACCCTGGCTCTAGGTTTCTCAGCTGTATCTTGGTTCTCTTTACATTCTCCTAGTGATGCTCTGATACTTAGACAGGGCCCTCTGGCCCAGCTGCAAACTGACTGCTCCTCCCCTGGGAATTCTCTCTCTCTAGTTCTCTTCCCTTTGACCTGCTTCTCTGCGGTGATCCAGGAAGTGCTCAGGTCTGTCTTTAAGAGCTTAGGTGTCTCTATGTTCCCCATTTTCTTCTTTCTCCCGGGGTTATGACATGGCCCCCAACCTTGACCATCTTACTTCTATTTCACAAACCAAGAAGAAAGTAATTACTCCTTTTCAGCCCAGATTCTTTAGTATCTTTCCTTATTTTTTCCAAAACCCTGTAGTGTACCCCCATCTCAATTGGAAGCCTGTAATATTACATTGTATATAAGGATTCCAGAAATCTTCAAAATAGCAACGTACATTCCTATGTTCCAGATGACTGTCTTGTACGATGATGAGCTTTACTTGTCTCTGTCGAGTTCTACCATTACTCCTGCCAGCTAGCCTAGTGGGGAGACCCAGTCTGTAAATAACACCTCTCTTTCGTGTACTCTGGATGCATAGCGATCCTCTCAAGTCTCAATCCTGTCTAGGTCCCTGGCAACTTTCTTTCTTTTCTTCTGAAGATCCTGAATGTTGGTTAGCCTTCTAATGACCTTGTGGGTCCAGAGACTGTGTATTTCCAATCTATGATTTCTTCACTGAGTTGGAAATTGTGGGAAGTTGTTCAGTTGGTTTCTTAACCAAGTGAGTTAATCTCCAGATGGTTCCAGGCAGATAGCCTTCTGTTTTATTTTTTTAATATATTCAAGAATTCTTATCCACCTGTTTGCTTGGGCGTCTCAGATGGAAAACAAATGACCTGCATTTTCCTCATAATAGCTCATTAGAGATCTCCCAAGACAACTAAATCATTCCTTGTCGCTACCCTCCCTAGGTGTGTCAGAGTGTCACACTGTTTTTACAAAACATACTAGAGGGGTGCCTGGGTGGCTCAGTGGGTTAAAGCCTCTGCCTTCGGCTCAGGTCATGATCCCAGGGTTCTGGGATCGAGCCCTGTATTGGGCTCTCTGCTCTGCAGGGAGCCTGCTTCCTCCTCTCTCTCTGCCTGCCTCTCTGCCTACTTATGATCTCTGTCTGCCAAATAAATAAATAAAATCTTAAAAAAAAAAAAACATACTAGAAAAACTGTAGAGAGGTTGCTAATTTTCCATTTGTTTTGTTTGGAGGGACCAAAATAGGTAACCTCTTTTTGTTTTGCTTTAATAATTGTTTTCTTTAAGATACCATTAATCTTCGATAAGTACCTAACTTTCTGTCTTTCTTTTTCCACATTTCAGTGGCTGCCTCCTATTTCCTGCTTATTCTCCATTGCTATTTCTCCATGCTGTTGCAAAATAATTCATAGCATTCAAAGAGGAAGAAAGAGTGAAGGAACACAAAACACAGAAAGTAAAAGAGAGCAAAGACTTCATAGAAATGAAGACAGGAAAGAACCAATTCTAATTGTAGAAAGGAAAGGAGCTAATAAATATCAGTGTCTATAAATTAAAAAAAAAAAAAACAACTAGGCACCGCTGCTGCAGTGTGCTTTACGAAGAATTCAGGATAAGGTGTGCAAGGAAAGGGTTTGGGGAAGGTACATGACAAAAAGAAAACATATCAAACTTTATGGGATCCAGCAAAAGCAGTGCTTAGAGGGAAAATAGATGTGAAAATGCCCATACTGGAGAAGAAGAAATTGCTCAAATCAATAACCTAGGTTTCCACCTTAAGGAGCTAGAAGGAGAAGAGCAAAGTAAAGAAAGCAGACACAAAGAAGGGCATAATAAAGGACAGAGCAGAATTCAATGAAGTCAAAAGTTGGTTCTCCAGAAAGATCAACAAAGCTGATAAACTCTTAGATAGGTGCACCAAGAAAACAAATAAGAGAAGATTCAAATTAGTAAAATCAGGAATGAAAGAGGGACATCACCACCGACCCTACAGAAATTAAGATTATAAGAGAAGGTATGTGAGCATCTCATACCACTGCCCTTTGCTGGGTATTGTTTTATTGTTTGTCTCCCCTGAATAGAACACAGTCAGTGATTTTAATGAGGGCATGTGAAGGATATAAAATATTGTGGGGAAGGTCCCTAAATTATGCTTGGGCCCATGAATGATCTCTAATTTCACCTCCTCTGAAAGTATTCTCATCGGCTATGTCACCAGGCCTCAATGAGAGGAAGAGATGTGTCCTATTGTTCTCCTAAGGGTGCTTCCTGCCCCATCTTACATCCCTTTACACTTTTTTGGGGCATCACTAGTAAACCCAGGAAGAATGTCTTGCTTCCACAGACATTTGAACTTCTCCTTCTGAATTTTGGTCCTGCATTTCCTTTTTCAGAGAAAACAATGTAATGATGTTTAGCACATTCACAGGGTGGTGGAACTATTAGGACAGTCCAGTTTTAGAACATTTCCATCACCCCCAGTTTTGTGGCCATTTCCTTGCATTTTGTTTGATTTGTATGGGTCCTGTGTATCGCCTTTCTCTTCATCATCCCTTCCTCTGCTAGCTCCTTCACCTCCATATTAAAAGCAAAGGAAGGGAGTGAACATTGCATAGCTTGCTCACCATAGACCCAACACTAGGCTGGGTGTTTTATATTTGTTACCTAATTTTTTATATGTTCACTTGTTTCTCACCTTAGAAAACTGAAACAACAAAATGTCAGCAACCTCAAATAAATAAGTACATCTTTGTTGGCTGTGTCTTATGACTACTCTGCTTCCTAATTTCCTATCTTCTCTCTTCCTCCTCTGCCTGTTTCTTGCTGACTGTACTTGCCCCTCTCATCCACACTTCTGCCGCCCCCACCCCACCCTTTTCCTCGCTCTTGCTGAAGATACCAGTGGTGTTTCAGTCAACAAACCCAACCGACACTTTGTAGTCCCTGGTTTCATTGAGGATCTTCTAAGTGCCAGGCACTGTGCCACGTGCTCAGAAGAGAAAGAGGAAGAAGGGATGGTCGCTGCCTTTAAGAAGTTTACAGTGTGTGGGGGCACAGAGCCTTGAAGAGATGCTAACACAGAGCGCTAAGTGCCATGAGGGAAGTGTTCACGTGGGCTCCGGTGGAAGAAGGCTTCCGGGCAGGGGTGACACCTGGGCGGTTCACGAGGAGGTGGAGGTTCGAGGTGGAGCAATGCTTGTATTAGCATGTATAGTGCAAGAAGGAAGAAAACAAGCACATCCTGAGGTGGGCAGGAGCTGAGACACAGAAAGTTCTGTGAACTGTTCCCAGAGATGGGGAATCAGGATGCAACGTACCTGGGATCTCTTGCTCTGGGTCTCGCACTCGACCGTGATTGAGGTGTCAGCTGTGTTGGCGTTTCATCTCAAGACTCATCTGGCAGAGGATCCTCTTCCAAATTCACTCAAGTGGCCGTTGGCAGGATTCACTTTCTCTCAGGGCCTCAGTTCTTCGCTGGCTGTTCGCCAGAGGCCACTCCCTTTTCCTTGCCAAGTGGGTGTCTCACAGCATGGCACTGGCTTCGTCAGAGCGAACAAGTAAGAAGAGCCGGAGAGGGCAAGTGAGATGGCAACCCGCACCTTTTTGTAACCTAATCTCAAAAGTGACATCCTTATCACTTTTGCCCTTAGAAGCAAGTTACAAGGTCTAGCTCATACTAAGGGGAGGAGATCACACAAGGGTGTGAATAGCAAGAGATAGGGGGCATTGGGAGTCATCTTAGAAACTCCCAGGCCACATGGCTAATGACACAAAGCCCATAAATGCAAACTGAGGTCCTTTTCCTGTAAAGTACATCCTCTTAGCCACATCATACAGGAGAGTATCTCCTTCTCACTTCTCCCTGTGTACAGGTTATAAAGGTACAGTACTCAGCACATGTAGAGACTTTTTTTTTTTTAAGGTTTTACTTATTTATTAGAGAGAGAGAGCAGGCACGTGCACACGTGTACAAGTTGGGGGAGAGGCAGAGGGAGAGGGAAAAGCAGGCTTCCTCCTGAGCAGCCCCCGACATGGGGCTCAATCCCAGCACCCCGGGATCATGACCTGAGCCAAAGGCAGACGTTTAACCGACTGAGCCAGCCAGGCACCCCCATATGTAGAGACTTAATGATTTTTCTAGCTAGAAGTGCCTGAGTCAGATGCCTAGGAATCTAACTTCCCTCCCAAAGATCACAAACGTAGAGGTACCTGCAGTGCCACAGAGGTGATGAGCGTGAGCCAGGCTGGGAGAGTCTGGAAGAATCAGCAGCAGCGGCAACTGTGAAGAACTGGCAGGACCGTCTAAAATCAGTGGCTCTTCCTCCCACCCAACCTGTTGTTGCCTGGCGGGAGCATATGCCCAGCATGGGCGGGGCATCTCTTTGTCTAATGGCAAATGTGGATTTTTATATGAAATTGTATAGCTTTCAATGTTGGCAATGCACTTTAAAATGTATTTCGTATTGTGTGGGGGAATCAAAACACACCTGAAGACCAGTTCTGCCCCCCTTCCCCCTGCAGCCACGCATTGTGCTAACATCTCCTCTCTGCCTTGCTCATTATCTTGGGAGGAGACACACAGTCAGTGTCCAGGGTATGTGGCCAATGTTTTTCTGCGGATAGGAGAGAAGGCCTTCCTCTCTCACCTTGCTCACTTCACTTGGGACAAGAACTTCAGTTTCATTGAACAGATTAGATTGACTATCTGCCAAAATCAAGCTCATGGTATAGAGCTGGCATAGAAAAACAAGTTTTTGGAAGATGATTTTACTTTTATTTCAGCATGCTCTAGTACCATCCTCCTAGTCATTTAGTGAATCAGGTGGTATGATTCTCTGCACCTCCCCTGTCCCTCAAAGAAAAGTTCTCATTGGTGTCTTTGCTAACCTCTTTCAAAAACTTTTTTTAAAGAAGAAATTATGTGAAATATTTCAAAAGGCAGTAAGATACATAGCCAACCACTGCATGACATATCCAATGTGTTTGGTCCTTGGGGTTGCTGTAGTCGTACATAAAATTCAACTAGTGATGCAAGAAATGCTAAAGATCGCTAAGTTAGATGAGATGGGTGGGTTTTGTGCTGTTGTATTGGTTTAACCATGGATAGACATCACCAGGGTTGGATTAAATGGAGGAAAAGAGGAACTAATTAATATGTGTTAGCAAATTCAAGGGAAAAAAATACCAGCACGACCCAAAGTCTGAGGAAGGGTGATTTTAAAATCTCGTTTTATCTGAATATTTTTCTTCCAAAATTGAAAAACAAGGGGCACCTGGCTGGCTCAGTCAGCAGAGCATGTGACTCTTGATCTCAGGGTTGTGAGTTCAAGCCCCACGATGAGTATAGTTTACTTAAGAAAAAAAAAGTATCAGTGCATAAAAAAAGAGAGTATCTTTTGTCCCCCCATTTCCATTTTATGAAACTGGATTGGATAAATATGCTAAGAGAAATTTGCATTTTATTGCACATTTAAAAAGCAGTCATGGGTAACTCAAGGTCAAGATCATATTCTGAGAAGAGGAGGGCTCCCATATCTTCTAGGCAGAGGCAATCAAGAAGCAGTTCAAGAAGAAGATCACATTCTAGGTCAAGGAGTAGGCAGTGATCCAAAAGTCCAAGACAGAGAAGATTTCATTCCAGAGAGAGAGAGGTAGAAGGCCAAGGAGCACATCAAAAACCAGGGCCAAAAAGAAAGAAGATAAAGAAAAGGAACGTTCCAAAATACCACCAAAAAGTTACATAGCACAGACAGACATTCCAGAAGCACAAGCAGAGAGGGACAAGGACGAAGTAGGAGTGGCACAAGATCTCCTAAAAAGAGAAAATTGTCTCACTCACCATCCCCTAGGAGACATAAAAAGGAGAAGAAAGATAAAAGCAAAGAAAAAAGCAGAAATGAAAGAGAATAATCAACAAGCAAGAAGAAAAGGAAAGAGGGAAATGGATCATCGGGAAGGACAATCAGAGAGTGACATAGATGTGAAAGTTACACAGGATTACGATGAAGAGGAACAAGGGGAGGACAGCGAGAAAGAGAAACAAGAGGAGAAACCAAGGGAACCAAGCTCCCCTAAAACAAAGGGAACTGGTGACTCAGTAAGAGAATCAAAGTCAATGGAGATGAGCATTGTGAAGAAGACATGGAGGTGAGTGGCTGCACGTGGCCTCCATGGGGAGCCTCCCGCATACACACAGCAGCGCGGTGCCTTTGTGTGACTGCTTAATGCTCTATTTGTTCTTCTCAAACCCACATGGGTACAGCTCCGGGTTACAGATGGTTCCATAGCTCCTGATATTGACATTAGTTATTTACGGCCCAAAACTTGTGGAAAGCCATACAGGAGTGAATAGTTCTTGGCATGGTGAGATCTGATTGGGTAACCAAGCAGCCGGACTGTTCTGCTGCCGCTTCATAACAAACGTGAAAAGTGGCTTGCATCCAGAGCCGGCATGGATTGTTTCTGTTGTGTGCTCTCCTTTATTAAGTACGTGCACTTATAGTATTTCTAGAATTTGATTCATTGCAATAAAAGAGCCATACAGGGAATGCACTGATTGCATGTTAATTGTGGCAGGAATATCCTAATTGTCATTAAAATCCTCCAACGTGATGGATCTACTTGTGGTCTTGTTTGCTGACATGACAAATTAGACTTCTTACAGTTACGTCTGAAAATGAACATTTGAAATTGATAGTCCTTTAAGCCTTGTGCCTAAATTTTGTAGCTTTTGTTTAACTTAGAAAGATTATCTGTGCACTCGCTCTTTCTGATGGCTGACGAGGCTTTAATTACAGAAACAAGATCTCAAATGAAACTCTCGGTGGTGGTGAATAAGTAGCACATTTTGAAGTAGAGTCGTATACTTTTTCATCAAGGTGTTTGGGAATTTTTTTCCTGAAATCATTTTTCTTACCTCTACGTCAGAGAAAGCTATCTGCCTCTCCTGAGTCCATCTGTGAAAGAAAGTGATCTCTTATCCTGATTTTCAGTTTTCCACTCTTTTCTTAATTTGTTTTCATCTCAGTGTTGGACAAAGGCGGTAGTACATTTTAAATGGACCGCCACATCTTTTAAAATATGACAGATCTACTTCATAATGTACTTTTTATTTGACCTCAAGTATAAAACCAAAACATTTGTGTTACTTTTACCGCAATAGTAGTCTAATGCACATAGTAATCCCTTGTGAAATGCAACATAGTTAGGCAACTAAAAACTTCTCACAGGAGTTTCAAGCTTCACGTTTGTGCAGTGAAAACTAAGGTTTTCACTGTCTACAGTCTGTCCCATGTTGGTTTCTAAGTTTCTAAGATTGTTTTACAAGACTTTGATAATAAAACCCTGAAACTTATTTCATGTTCCTGTAAAAAAAAAAAAAAAAGAAAGAAAGAAAGAAAAAAAAAGTGGGCACAGTAAATATAGAATATAAAAATAAGTCAAAAATTGGCCTTTAACAGTTGTAGGTAGCTTGGAGTGTTGTTAAATCTCTGTCTTTCAGAGCACAGGTCACGCCCTTATACCTGAATTGACTGCGTGGGAGTCAAGTTTCTATGCACTTGTGTCTAATTTTTGAGTGGGCTCCCCTTACGACAGTTCATGTAAAAGGTCCACCCACAGCAGCTGCCTTCGACTCAGGTCATAATCCCAGTGTCCTGGGATCGAGTCCCACATCGAGCTCCTAGCTTGGCAGGAAGCCTGCTTCTCCCTCGGCCTCTGCCTGCCGCTCTGTCTGCCTGTGCTCGCCCGCGCTGTCTCTCTCTCTCTCTCTCTCTCTGACAAATAAATAAAATCTTAAAAAAAAAAAAAATTTTTAAAAGGTCCACCCACAGCTCTGGCCTTTCCCCCTCGTTCTTCCATGGTGCGAAAAACTGTCCCCTGAATTGTCGGATGTGCCATTTCAGTGATCGAGGGAGGACCCCTGGAGCACAACTACCGGTTAAAGCAATTCCATTTTCACTGGGGGGCCATCGATGCCTGGGGCTCTGAGCACACCGTGGACAGCAAATGTTACCCAGCAGAGGTATGTTGAGCAGCTTGGGAGCAGTGACAACTGTGAGGGGGGGACAGTGCTGTATTTCTAAGACAGCCTCAGGAAGAATCAGGGGGCGGGGGGAGGTCCTATAAATGCTAACGCGCTCTCTCAAGCATATGTGATTACTCCCAGTTTATACGTGTAAACATGATCTCATCCCAAATAATAGAGCAGAAATGAACCTTAAGATCCTAAAAGAGAATCCTTCCGGAATTCGAAGCTAGGCTCAAATTATAGCCTGAAGTTATAGCCCAGGCCACAGTACAGGGCCTCCAGGTTCAATTGGCCCAAGTGAGAATTGGTGGGAGCCCCGATGAAGGCTGTGGTGATAGGAATAGAGGAAAAGAGTGAGATTTAACAGGCATTTCTGAAATAAAGGCAACAGGACTTGGAGGCAGGGTCTACTTCAGGAGAGGAGAGGAACAAGCAAAACGTGACCTTGAGGATCTACTTGGGAGGCTGGGTGAAGATGCTTTTGTGAATGGTGAACAAGAAATAATTTGTAGGGGGGCGCCTGGGTGGCTCAGTGGGTTAAAGCCTCTGCCTTCGGCTCAGGTCCTGATCTCAGGGTCCTGGGATCGAGCCCCACATCAGGCTCTCTGCTCAGCAGGGAGCCTGCTTCCTCCTCTCTCTCTGCCTGCCTCTCCCCCTACTTGTGATCTCTGCCTGTTAAATAAATAAATAAAATCTTTAAAAAAAAAAAAGAAAGAAAAGAAAAGAAATAATGTGTAGGGAAGTCTAGGGAAGGCATAAGGAAGTAGAATTTCTTAGAGATTTTCCCCTAATTTAGCTTTAGATGTTACCTTAAAAAGAAACACATTTTAAATCGTTATCCCTCGGGGCGCCTGGGTGGCTCAGTGGGTTAAGCCGCTGCCTTCGGCTCAGGTCATGATCTCAGGGTCGTGGGATCGAGTCCCGCATTGGGCTCTCTGCTCAGCAGGGAGCCTGCTTCCCTTCCTCTCTCTCTGCCTGCCTCTCTGCCTACTTGTGATCTCTCTCTCTCAAATAAATAAATAAAATCTTTAAAAAAAAAAAAATCGTTATCCCTCAAAGAAATTTGACTTCAACTCTTGTCTAATTCCCATGGAGAGAATCTATTTCTCTCAACATAAAAATCTCTCCTTAGGATGCAAATGGATTTTGGATATGATGGTTTCATGCAAATCAGTATGGGAATGGACATTCATTGCTCCCTCACTGAAATGTACTCACCTTGTTGTATTTCTTTTCTTTTTCTCCAAATAAATCCCTTTATTCACAGGTAATATTAGGGCACCTGGGTGGCTCAGTCAGTGGAGTGGCTTGACTCTTGATTTTAGCCCAGGTCATGGTCTTAGGGTCCTGGGATCGAGCCCTGCATCAGGTTCTACTCTCAGCGTGGAGTCTGCTTGAAAGTCTCTCTCCCCCCTCAGCCCCTCCCCCAAAATAAATAAATCTTTTTTTAAAAGGTAGTATTTTTTTAAAATATTTATTTATTTATTTGACAGACAGAGATCACAAGGAGGCAGAGAGGCAGGCAGAGAGAGAGGAGGAAGCAGGCTCCCTGCTGAGCAGAGTGCCCGATGCGGGGCTCGATCCCAGGACCCTGGGATCATGACCTGAGCCGAAGGCAGAGGCTTTAACCCACTGAGCCACCCAGGCGCCCCTAGAAGGTAGTATTTTTAAAGAACAATTTATTTATTTTGAGAGAGAACAAGAGCACAAGCAGGCGGAAGGCAGAGGCAGAGGCAGAAGGAGAAGCAGGCTCCCCACTGAGCAGAGAGCCCAGCACAGGGCTCCATCCCAGGACCCTGGGACCATGACCTGAGCCGAAGGCAGATGCTTAACCAACGGAGCCACCCAGGAGCCCCTAAAACAAGTAATAGTAATTGCTGCTCCTGCATGTGGTTCTTCCTATTCATTTCTATCTCATTTCGCACCAGACTGCTGTATGCTTTTCTCAGCGGCTTTACTTTGGGTGAGGAAACATGTTAAAATATTGTGTTGAGTAAGACTGTTTGTTTTGGAGCAATCCTATGCGGTTATGTGGCAAACCAGCTTTTAACGGTGTTTCAGCTGCACTTGGTGCATTGGAATGCAGTCAGATTCGAAAACTTTGAGGATGCAGCACTGGAAGAACATGGTTTGGCTGTGATCGGAGTATTTTTAAAGGTAAGAAAGTCCGACCAACTTTAAATGACGTGTTTTATCCTAAGATGAAAAGATACAACATTGTAATATTAACATCTAAGTGTATTGGGATTAAAAAGAAACAATGTTGGCTTGTGGAATCACTATGTGGTACACCTGAAACTAATGTATCATTGTGTCAGTGAGACTTCAACTTAAGAAAACAAGAAAGACAAAAAATGAACGGCAGCTAAATAGAAGATTGCTCTGAATATATTTTTTTCTTTTTTCTTTTTTTTAAAATTTAATTTTATTTATTTATTTGACAGACAGAGATCACAAGGAGGCAGAGAGGCAGGCAGAGAGAGAGAGCAGGGGAAGCAGGCTCCCTGCTGAGCAGAAAGCCTGATGTGGGGCTCAATCCCAGGACCCTGAGACCACGACCGGAGCCGAAGGCAGAGACTTAACCCACTGAGCCACCCAGGCGCCCCTGAATATATTTCAAATGGTGTAAAAAATGCAGCCCAGTAGAGTGGTCCCAAGCCACATGTGGCAAATGAGCTCTTGAAATGTGGCTACTTGGTGGAACAATTTTTAATCGTAATTAATTCAAATTGCAACACAATGACTGATATTTAAAGGGAGCAGGAGCCCGTTTCCCCGCAGGCACTAGGACCCTGTCAGCAAACAGCCTGCTCACTTGTTCTGTGTCTAATTGAATTCAGTGACATTTGTAGTGATCTAAACTACCAGTTTAAGTGTAGTTTAAGTTGTGTGATTCGTTTGTTTTTATGTAATCACCAGGTGGCTCATTTTCATCACATCGTGTCACCATGGCGAAAGTCAGATATCCATTGTTTTTAACATTTTCTCATTGCTGCTTCTTTAGCTAGGCAGACATCACAAAGAGCTACAGAAATTGGTGGATACTTTGCCATCGATCAAGCATAAGGTAATACTATCTTTCCCAAGTCACTTGAAATGCCTGTTTCGTGTAATCTCGAGTGGAGACACTCACAAAACACTTTGCAACTTGCCCCGGAAGAGCACTTGCCACTTTACATGCGTGTGTTGAGAGCGCCTCTGGCCCTGAGACACCTTGCAGGGGCCGGAAGGGATTCTGTGGGTGCGTGCTCACCGCTTCGGTTTTGCTGCCCTGCCCTAGCCCTCAGGGAGTCGGGAACCCAGGGCTGTCCCCTCCTCTGCTCCTTCTGAGTCCCTGTGGAAACAGCCAGAGCAGTCCTGCTGACTCAACCTCCGGTCCCGCAGGCGGGGAGCAGAGAAGAGTTGGCGTGGCCGGCTGTACAGAACAATTACCCACATCCTTCAGAATGGACACCTTTGTCCAGGCCCCAGACTAACTGTCCTTCGGGACTTCGAGTCCCGAAGGGGCCGTTCCCTGGAGGTCCACTTCTCTTGCCCCCGCCTCATCCCCACCTCAGTCTCTGTCCCCACTGCCTCCTTCCCTCTCCCTCCCTGTCCATCTCCCTCTTTTCCCTTCCCTTTCTCTGTCTGCCCCTTTTAGTCCAGGAACTTGACTCCCCCAAATTTGCACTGCATTTTAGAAGGGAGAATTCTGTCGGTTTTTCTTGAAAAAGGGAAGTCTCCTTGTTCATGCACCAGCTACTCACTGCCTGATGCCTCCCAAAGAGTTGAGAGGAGAACACCTGCAGTAAAGTCACTAGAACGGAGGGAGGCAGTGTGTCGCGCCTCGTTCCCGTTCCCGGGGAGGACGAGCAGAACTACCTAGTTAATTAGGGGAACAAGGCAGGGGCGTGATTCGGTCCTAAAGTGCCCAGAGATCCTCCGGACCGCTGCTGGTCCCTAGACTCCCCTAGACTCATCACCCCGTCCTCTGATTCCTGAGTGATTCTCACCATGAAAGGATGACTTGGTGACCTCTTCTCTTGGCCAGGACACCCTTGTGGAATTTGGGTCATTTGATCCTTCCTGCCTGATGCCTGCCTGCCCAGATTACTGGACCTACTCGGGGTCCCTGACTACGCCCCCACTCTCCGAGTCCGTCACGTGGATCATTAAGAAGCAGCCCGTAGAGGTTGATCACGATCAGGTATGTTCTTTCCACATTTCTTTCTGAGGGAACGCTAGCCTGCCCCTTTAAAGCAAGGCTGGGCTCCAACTTAGGTATCAGTTTTTAAGATCTTGTAAGGCTTTACATTTTTATTAAAATGTACTAACATCTTGTCTTAAAATTTGGATATAAATTAGGGAATGCTGCAAATCAACATGAGAGAAGAGTTAAAATTTAGGAAGCGTAAGCTTTTTACTTTCATATTTGACAATGACGTATTATGTCTTGTGCATTGTGTATTTTATATATAACAATAAATCTCTATATACACGAGACCCTTTTAAAAGGAAGAATGAAGGCTGGAAATGGATATACTCAAAACCCTTTAAAATCCTTAAGGAAATTTTGCTCTGGAACCTCAGGATTAAGACAGAATCCAACAATATCTGTCCAGAAATTCTAAGTCAGTTATTTTGAACTTATTTTCTCTTTAAAAAGTAAGTTTAAGTGATGACTACTATGTCAATGTACAAAATCCTGTTTCATTCACAATTTAACTGAACTACAATAATACTTGTAAATGCTTGCTTTATGGGCTTTTTATTAATTACAAAGCATTTTTACAAGAGGAAAAGCTTCTAATATATTTTATGTTTTTTAAGATTTATCTATTTATTTTAGAGAGGGAGAGAGAGGAAATAAATCACGAGCAGGAGGAACAGAGGGAGAGAGAATCCTTTTTTTTTTTTAAAAAGATTTTAGTTATTTATTTGACAGACAGAGATCACAAGCAGTCAGAGAGGCAGGAAGGGAAGCAGTCTCCACTCTGAGCAGAGAGCCCAATGTGGGGCTTGATCCCAGGACCCTGGGATCATGACCTGAGCTGAAGGCAGAGGCTTTAACCCACTGAGCCACTCAGGTGCCCTAGGGGAGATAGAATCTTAAGTAAGCTCCATTCCCAGTGTGGAGCCTGACATGGGGCTAGATTTCATGACCCTAAGCTGAAACCAAGAGTCTGTACTTAACCGACTGTGCCACGCAGGTGCCCCTCGGAAGTATATATTTTAAAGAAAGGAAAAATAATGTATGAGAAACAAGCTAGCAGTACATTAGAAGAAATAATACACTTTGACTTAGTAATACGTATTCCAGCAAAGGATGGTTCATTATTAGGAATGATATTAATATAATCCATCATATCAGTGATTCTATATAGAATAATCATATAACCATTTCTATATATTGTTAAAAGGCATTAGCAAAATTCACTATTCAGTTTTAAAAATTTTTTAAGGTTTATTTTATTTTTTAAAAATTTTATTTATTTATTTGAGAGAGAGAGAGAGAGAGAGAGCGTGCACAAGCATGAGTAGGCAGAGCCATAGGCAGAGGGAGAGGGAGAAGCAGGTTCCCCACTCAGCAGAGAGCCCGATGTGGGGCTTGATCCCAGAACTCTGGGATCACTACCCCAGCTGAAGGCAGAGGCTTAACTGACCGAGTCACCCAGGTGCCCCAGGTTCATTTATTTTAGAGAGAGAGGGAGATAGAGAGAGAGAGCACACAGGGAGGGGCAGAAGGAGAGTGAGAAAAATTTCAGCAGACTCCTCACTGAGGTTCGCATTTGAAGCCTGAAACAGGGCTTGAACCCATGACCCTAAGATCAAGACCTGACCAAAACCAAGAATCAGACGTTCAATCCACTGTGCCACCCAGGGGTCCCTTAGTTTCTTAAAATTTTAAATAACATAGAAACGAATGGAGATTTCCCTAACTTGATGAAAGGGATTGCTCTCAGTTCAAAAATAAATAGTATGCCTAATAGAGAAAGATTAGTACAATATACAAATTTATATTACGTTCCTGAAGTAGCCAATACAATTAGACCAAAAAAAGAAAAAGCAAATTAGAAAAACAATAAAAAACTACTTCTAAAATGAGGTAACTCAGTAATTAGTGGAGTATAATATTAATTTATAAAAATCAATACATTTAACATACACAAATCATAATCAGTTAAAGGATGTAATGATATAAAGTTATAATAGAATGAAAACTATTTATAATGGAAACAAAAGTATAAGATGCCTTGGAGTAAGCATAAGAAGAAAATTTAACATATAAGCTTAAAACATCCCTGAAGGGCACAAAAGGATTCATAAAAATCATACTACGCTATTGAATCACAAGACAGCATAAAAACACCTTTGATGTCAACTCTCTTTCAGTTGTTATACCCCATTAATTGTTTATTCTCCCTAAATTTGATGTGGTCCATTTACTGTGCCAATGGGATTTTTAGATAGATGTGCTACTTCGAAAATCACACAGCAAAACAAACAGCATAAATAGCCAGGGAAAATTCTGAAAGAAAAAATGAGAGATGATTAGATCCACAAAATTCTAAAGCCTCAATAATGAAATAGTGTGGTACTGGCACAAAAGTAAAGAGACCACTGGAGGAGAGAAAATGTTAAGTTCAGAATACAGCCAAGTACATATGAGAATTTAGTTTGTGATCAAGATAGCATCTCATCTCAATGGCGGGGGGAAGATGGGATTCTTCAGTAAATGCTGTTGGGCGACAATGGGGCAGACATTGCGGGGAGAAAAGTTAGATCCATCATTCAGACCTCACATGGGAATATATTCTGCATATATCAAATGTTAAAAACACCACCATAAAAGTGTGAGGATAAACACAGAGAAATCTTTTTATACTTCCAAATGGAGGAAGCTTTTCTAACTATATTCCAAAACCAAGAAGTCCTAAAGAAAGCAACTAGTAAGTTAGACCATGTAATTTCTTTTTTCTTAATGTGTGTGATGAAAACCACCAAAAACAAATGACAAAACAGAGAGAGCTTAACTGTCCATAAGCCTGGTCTTCCTGGCCTATACATTTAGTCTGTGTCTATCCTTCATATTTAAAATTGACATAACACTGAAAAATAGATCAGTAAAATCAATAAATCAGAGAGTTAGTGGCCCATGTGGGTAGTTTTCCAATGAAATCTCAACACAGAAAATTCAGTCAGGAAAAAAATGTTAGTTGTCATCTACAATTCAGTCACCTATAATCAGTGTCAGGCATTGGGTAAATCCTTCTGGTTTTTAATCTTTACAGATACATATAAATTCTTTGGTCTTTTATCTGTATAAATATACATAGGTTTCTCAAACCAAATGGAGTCATTGTGTACCTACCATTTTGTTCCTCTTTTTTTTTTTTTAAGATTTTATTTATTTATTTGACAAAGAGAGACACAGCGAGAGAGGGAACACAAGCAGGGAGAGTGGGAGAGGGAGAAGCGGGCTCCCCGCCAAGCAGGGAGCCCGGTGTGGGGCTCGATCCCAGGATCCTGGGTTAATGACCCGAGCTGAAGGCAGACGCTTAACAACTGAGCCACCCAGGTGCCCCATTTTGTTCCTCTTTTCACTCAGTGACATGTGGGACATTTTATAGGTAATAAGCATTATCTTTGATATCGTTTTTAATGGCTATGTACTAGTCCATTTTATAGATCTAATGTAACTTATTATTGACATTTGAGCTATTTCTAATCTTTTGCAGTTAGCTGAATAAAAATAAATCTTAACTTCTGGACGTGTTCTTGATTTACGAGGGTAGATATGTAATTTGCAAGTATAGTCCCTTTGGCACTTGCTTCTGGTCACAGTCCTGCCTCGGCAGCTCTCCTTGACCTGAAGTCTTTGTTCCAAACAGATCTTCCCATGCTTGCGTACTGTGCCCCAGGCTGTCCTCTCCATAGCTGCAGCGTGTGGGATTGAGTGACGAGAAGTGTTGTGACAATAACTTATGGCTGGCTTGAAGTCAAGTGTTCCCGAATATGGTTGCTCTGAAAGCCAGGGGGCGAATGATGCTATTGCCATGTTAGAGAACAAGCCTTGACTTGGGGCAGCTCCTTTTGTACTGAGCTGCACTGTCCAGTCCATTAACCACTAGCCCCATGTGGCCATTTAAATTTAAATATAAATACATTAAAATAAAAACTAAAAATTCAGTTACAGGGGCGCCTGGGTGGCTCAGTGGGTTAAGCCTCTGCCTTCGGCTCAGGTCATGGTCTCAGGGTCCTGGGACCGAGCCCCGCATCGGGCTCTCTGCTCCGTGGGGAGCCTGCTTCCTCCTCTCTCTCTGCCTGCCTCTCTGCCTACTTGTGATCTCTCTCTGTCAAATAAATAAATAAAATATTTTTAAAAATTCAGTTACAGGGTGCCTTGCTGGCTCAGTCAGTAGAACATGCAACTCTTGATCTCGGGGTTGTGTGTTCGAACCCCATGATGGGTGTAGAGGTTACTAAAGAATAAATAAACTTTAAAATATTAAAAATAAATAAATACAGAAAAATTCAGTTCCTTAGTTGTACTGGCCGCATTTCAAGCGCTCAGAATCCATAGGTGGTTAGTGGCTACTGTAATGAGTCATGCAGAGGACATTTCTACCATCATAGGAAATTCTTTTGGACAGTGATGGCAGGCGGCATCCCACTGCCTGTTAAAAAGATAACCCCAGGGGCGCCTGGGTGGCTCAGAGAGCTGAGGCTCTGCCTTTGGCTCAGGTCATGATTCCCAGGGTCCTGGGATCTAGCCCCGCACCGGGCTCTCTGCTCGGCGGGGAGCCTGCTTCCTCCTCTCTCTCTGCCTACTTGTGATCTCTGTCTGTCAAATAAATAAATAAAATCTTAAAAAAAAAAAAAAGATAACCCCATGCACTGCCTTCCCCACAATGCCCAGGTACAGTGAGCAATGAAGAACACATTGTTTATGTTAATTATTTAGTTATAGTCTGAGAAAACATTTTCGGCATTGTTAATATATGCATCAGGCCTTCCCTATGTTATCCTGTAGGCTACTTATTTTGCCCATTTCAAGATGAGGTTCCTAGGGGCACCTGGGTGGCTCTGTCGATTAAACGTCTGCCTTCGGCTCAGGTCGTGATCCCAGGGTCCTGGGGTCGAGTCCCATATCAGGCTCCCTGCTTGGTGGGGAGCCTGCTTCTCCTTCACCCTCTGCTGCTCCCCCTTACTTGTGTTTGTGCTCTCTCTCTCTCTCTCTCTCTGTCAAATATATAAATAGAATCTTTAAAAAAAATAAAGATGAGGTTCCTAGAATCAAAGATGATATAACTTGTTCTTGGCAAATAGCCAGTATGTGGGGGACCGGGCCTTTGGTGCACCCCGCTTCAGATTCCAAGTACCGCATTGTCTTTATCACCTCCTGTCACTCCTCCCCACACCTTTTGTACCCCATTCAGCAGTGAAATGCATTCCTACCCAGAGAGAGGTTGTACTGTGTCTAGTTGTGGAACAATGTTTCAGAATTGTGGAAATGAAAATGCATCTGTTACCTTATTGAAATTATTTATGCTTCGTACTTCTATTTCTAGCTTGAGCAGTTTCGGACCCTGCTTTTCACTTCAGAGGGGGAGAAAGAGAAAAGAATGGTGGACAATTTCCGCCCCCTTCAGCCCCTAATGAATCGCACTGTCCGCTCTTCCTTCCGTCATGATTATGTACTGAATATACAAGCAAAACCCCAGCCGTCAACTAGCCAAGTGATCCCCTGAGGAGTTCATCTCTAGGCAGTGCTTTGCTTTAATAAATACTAGCTTTTTAAATATTGCTAACTGGACTATTCTAAACACCTGCGTTTAATAATAATTATAGATGTGCATTTCTTGTGTGTGGCAGAGCTCCATCAGTCTTTGAGGAAAGCTCTTTGGTAAATGAGTTCTTCATTTGATTGAAAATGACATTTAACACTGAACTAGCAGCAAGAGACAGGAGTTTCTCCTACAGTAACCTGTTGGGTAATTGTAATGTCTTTTTACATCTGATATTTCTGTGCTGCCTCTTTATGTTTATTAGTTAGTAGTTCTGTAGAGTTATAAGCAGGGATAGTAACCAAAATATATAACAACTAGAAAGGCAGACACTGACCATCCAGAAAGCAGGCCTTTGAGAAACAGCCCTAGGGCCCAAACTGGTACATCCTGGCTTGCTGAACTCTGGCCATGGTTTTCGGTATTTTTATTTCAAAACATGAATGTATATTCTTTTCTGAGGCCTTCGCAATGAGTATATTTGCCCTGATCTTTAGTTGTCATTCCTAGTACATGATATGCTTACTTAGTATCAATTTATGATATACAAAAAGTATTTTGTAGTTCAAAGAAGACAAGAATTTACTTCTAACTGGGAATCCTTTTGTACTTCTGAAGATTAGATATATTAGTTCAAAACTTAATCACATAGAAAACATATGCAGAACGTTTTAAAGAAAATGCTTGAGGTGCCTAGAATTTAAAATTCTTTCATGAATATTTACAGAAATCTTTTTCAAAAGACTAGTAATATAACAGTCTATAGTTTATATTGTTATTTTGCATTGTCTGTACGTGGTTTCATAAAATACAATCTTTTCCACAATGATAGAACTATCTTGATTTCCCTTGAAAACTGTCTGAACTTTATTAGTTGAGGTTCTATGCCTCATGTTTCCAATTTACACAGTGGTTTAGAAGAATTTTGCTACAGTAATAAGAAGAGAAACTTAACAGGGTAAAGTCTAGAGAAGTCTGCATATTCTGAGGAAGCCATGCCATTGTTGCCTTTGCTTGTAAATATCTTGGAATGTTTCTAGTTGCCTATAAGCCTGTGTTCAAACTCATATTGCATTTACTAGTGGTATTTCTTTCATTACTATGCTAATCATCTGATCTGCAAGGTAAGGTTGGATAAGTAGACTTAACACTACTGAACTGTACACTGGAAAAGGTTAAGCTGGTTAATTTTATGTGTGTTCTACCATGATTAAAAATAAATAATACCTTCAGTAGGAAAAAAAAATAAGGTTGGAGTTATCTGTGTAAGTTTGGGGGGATATCTGTTCTTTAAAAAGGGAGGTTGGTAAAGGCATTTGCTTCTAGAGTGCACATCTTCTCTGGGAAGAAAATGAATAAAATTCTTAAGATAAATGGGGGGGGAGGTTTATGTTAAGTGTATGTAATTGATCTGCTCAAACCATAGTTATTTTAAGAGTGTAAACACAAAAGATACACATTTTCCAGCGCACATGGGCTTCCCTCCTAGGCCTCTCACAAGTTCCTCGTGCAAAATTCTCTTGTAATGAGTCTTCCAGATTGGAATAAGAGCCCATGTACCAAGACCTGATTTGTCCTTAAATCTTAGAGCTACAAAGATGTATTTATTGGGTGTGTCCCGGTTTGCCACTCGTGATTTACTTGCACCTAGGGTTCTGGTGTGATTATTAACAGCACTCTCTCACTTTCAGCCGTGTCCTGGTTTGCATGATAAATTCTTGGTCACCTTCTCCAGAGAGGTTATGGAAACTGCCTTGGGAAGGTATGCTTTCCACCCCCTGCCTTAGTCATATGACCTCCAAAGGGGTGCTACAGATTCTGGGGCTACTGAGACACCCTAACAAGAAACTTTTTGTCTTCTGTGCCTCCAAAAGTGCTTCACTTGTACCTTCCTAAACTTGAAGGGGGAAAATGGGCTTGAGGTCTGTCAGCGGGCTTGAGAAAGAATTTTGTATTACCATTGCTGCTCATCTTCATTAAATACTATAATAAAACCCTTTCTTTACAATATTAATATTTGTTGAATGACTGTTTCTTCCTATTTTTTAAAAAATATGTACAATTTCTGTTATATTAGTGAGACATCCTTTACTGTGTAGATTAGAAAGTGACTGGAAAACTCCCAAGAGATTTATTAGAAAAGCAGGAAAACAAAAACCACCCCCTTCTCCTCTCACCTTTTTCTGTCAGATTGGTGAACAATCTGAAGACATCACCAACAGGGCAAGCCACCAGTCCTTTTCTCCTTTCCAGAGCTACATGGGTTAGGGTAAGGTTGGCTATTCTAAAAGCAGGCATCCACGTCAAAAAAACTGGGGAAGATGGCTTTCCCTTGCTCCCTGGGGGACGCATTTCTTTTGGTGCATTATTAGCAAAATTGCACTATTATAATCACTTTAGGTATTTTTCTGTGTCACTAGAAGAACCAACATTATTTACTTGATACCTGTTCTACTTAATGTTTTATTGTCTTTTTAACTCAACTTTATTGGGTAAATTCTTTCCCATAAAATGTTACTGATCAAAAATGGAGATAGTTTATTTAAGCGAATAGCCTCTAATTTTAACCATATAATGAGTACATCTAAGTAATACTGGCTGCTTTACATGTAAATAGTAATGCGTCTTGTTCAAAACTGAATGTTTATCCCCCCCACCATTTGTATGTTGAAATCTAATCCCCAATGTGATGGTATTAGGAGGTGGGGCCTTTGGGAGATGATTAGGTCAGAGGGGGTGATGTCTCATGATTGGGTTAGTGCCCTAATAAAAGAGACCCCAGAGAGCTCTCTCACTTCTTCTGCCATGTGAGAACACAGCAAGAAGATGGCCACCAATGAGCCAGTAAGGAAGTTCTCACCAGATACTGAATCTACTGGCACCTTGATCTTGGACTTCCAGACTCCAGATCTGTGAGAAATAAATTATTGTTGTTTGTAAGCTCCCCAGTCTATGGTTCATTGTTATGGCAGCCCAAACAGACTAAGATACTTGTCATCCCCATGTACATTCTGGTTCCTGCTTTTTTAGTTCAACCACTCTTCCGAAATGGTACTTTGGTTTGGGTTCTAGGTGGGGAGAGCAACTCTGCTAGCATTCCTTCTTAAACCACCGCTCGTTGTGTTGCTAAGTGCTTATCACTGGACAAAAGAATGAAGTAATAAACACTATCACTGCATAGTTCTTTCCTCTTTTTTTTTTTTTTTAAGATTTTATTTATTTGAGAGAGAGCAACAGAGAGCAAGAATTGGGGGGGACAGAAGGAGAAGGAGAAGCAGACTACCCGCTGAACAGGGAACCTGACATGGGGCTCCATCCCAGGACCCCAGGATCATGAACTGAGCTGAAGACAGACACCCAACGGACCGAGCCACCCAGGCACCCCAGTTCTTTCCTCTTTTAATCAGTTGTGTAAATATAGGTTTGAATGTACTTTTCATATGAATATACATTAAGTATTTTATTTTGCTATCTTAGCTAATTGTAATCTGGAAAATATATAAAGCCCTTGGTATAGCAATGATGGCGGGAGAGGATTTGAGACCCCACTGTATGTCCCGGAATAAATCTGGTGACTAATTCTGAAATTAATGGTAGGTAAATGAAATGTTCTTTCCTGAGAATTTCTGCACAGACCACTCAATGAATCTATTACCATAGTCCTACTAGAGCAAGAAAAAATCCAAATTAACTCAAAGAGTCCTAGTTTGGCTTTTAGAGAATAGACTTTTTTTTTTCTTCCTCTCCCGTTATGCTTGCAATAAATGTAGGATACATTTATGGATCATTCTTTGGTCATTTTATTTTCTAGTTTCTGCTTATGATGTAAAATTAAAATTTAGGCATTTTCTCATAGAGGGAGGATAAACTAAAATGTACTTACCTGAGAGTAAGTAGATGATGTATGTATGTCAGGAACTAAGAAAAATGTTATGTTGCAGAATAAAGATTACTTTGTTCTATTTATTAGGATATCATCGTACAATGTATCTTTGCATTAGATTTTTTACATACTTTATTTTCATCTAATGATTTATTGAATTCAAATGAGGGTAGCTGTAATTTGAGATAAAATTGGCTTTTAGAATAACTTACGAAGTTAATTTGAGCAATTCAAGCTTGTTCAGGAAAATGAATTCAGTGGTTAATTGTAGAGGATAAATGTCTAACGCCTATAAAAGATTTACTTTCATTTGTACATCATAATAAAATAAAATCTAAATCTGTACCCTTTTTTAATTAGGAACATCTTCCTAGAAAGCATTCTTTGTTTGTTTGTTTGTTTTAAGATTTACTTACTTATTTTGGAGAGAGAAAGTTCATGTGTAAGCAGCGGGGAGGAGCAGAGGGAGGAAATCCCAAGCAGGCTCCCCAGTGAGTGCAGAGCGAAATCAAGAATTGGACACTCAACCGAGTGACCCAGGCACCCCTCCTAGAAGACATTCTTACTTAGTTCTGACAGGAAAGTCTGGTCTGACTCATGAGAAATGTTACAGCAACCCAAACAGTGACACTTTCGCAACAGTAGCCATTCTCAATGATTCTCAGCGATTTTCCTGGTCACAGGTACCAGCAAAATTGGTGATTTGTACAGCTACACTTTTGGCCACTCAGGGCATTCTCTAGTCAGGGGCTGTAATTAAGTCTCCACCTTCAAGGAATTTGAAGTTTATTGTAAGCAGCAGCTTTGTGAGGCAATGAAGTATAATATAGCGTGATAGATGTTACAAAGGTAAAATACTTGTGCTAAGAGCATACATGCGGGTCAAGTACCAACCCACTCTTGAGGAGGTAGGGGAGTTTTCACATCAACGATGATGATACAACAGCTAACATTCAGAAACACTATTGTCAGGCACTTTGCCAACATACAGCATGCACTTGGGAACTATTATCCCTACCTTGATTTCTACAGATGAGAAAACAGGACTAGACACTAAGGAATTTACTCAAGATCAGAGAGCCACGGCTTGAGTTTCCCCATCTGCCCAACTCCAAAGCTTATGACACTAATTACTGATGCACTGAGCTGGACAAGGTCAACTGGGAGATGTGTTATTCCAAGTGTCTCTGCAAGAGGGAATAGGGCAAGGCTTTATGCAGTTTGGGGTGTTTGCTGAATGATTCCCAGGATGGACTAGGAGGAGCAGGGCCAATTTAGTAGTAGGGTAGCTCAGTGATTTTGATTTGGAGGAAAGATGAAGAAAGCTAGGCCAGGGAAGTCATCCAGTCTTCCTCAAAAGATGGCGATTGTTCATCATTTTGCAGCTGCAGCATGTCCTTAAGAGAAGCTTTTCTTTTCTTTTTTTTTTTTCCTAGTCTTGTCTCTGCCCTTGTATATGTACATCACAGTCTGATTATTAGCGGGGCTGATTTTACTTTCTCAATCCTACTCTCACTGCTCCAGTTTAAGTGCTCATCTAGACAATGATATTCAAGTTTCGTCCTTTATATTGCAAACTGGAGTAATTTACCTAAAACACAAATATGATAACAAACCTCAACTTAAAAGCTTTTTGATGGTTTCCTGTTGCCGCAGAACATAATTAGAGCCTCTTGGCATGGTTTACTAGGCCCGTTTTACATAACTCAGTCCTAGCCCGTCTCTATTGCTGTGATCCTTGATACTCTGGAACTTCCCTTTAAATTCGATTGCCAAAATTCTGGCCGATTCCACTTCTCAGTGCCTTTGCTTATGCCGATTTACCATTCCCACCTGGGAATCTCACCCTTCTCCACCTGAGTAAAGGCTACCTTCCTGCAAAACTCAGGCACCAGAGGGGCACCTGGGTGGCTCAGTGGGTTAAAGCTTCTGCCTTTGGCTCAGGTCATGATCCCAGGGTCCTGGGATCGAGCCCCGCATCAGGCTCTTTGCTCAGTGGGGAGCCTGCTTCCTTCTCTCTCTGCCTGCCTCTCTGCCCACTTGTGATCTCTGTCAACTAAATAAATAAAATCTTAAAAACAAAAAATTCAGGTATCAGAAAGTTCTCCCTGAATCCCCAGTGGACTGTCAAGTAAACTACGTTGTCTGTACTATATTATTTTCTCTATGCATTGGTCCTTTTCTGCCTCTAGGTTGCACATTCCTTGGGAGCAGAGGTTACTCGTTTGCAGCGCAGGTGTTAGTTTCCCTATAGAGGCGGTAGGTGTGAACGGAAACTGGCGGACTCTGGAGTTTGAGGGGCTGATAGGTGGAATCGCAGAAGGCGGAGCCTGGACCA